AAGATCACCCCACCTATCACTTGTCTACTCCTCCCTAAAAACGTCTAAGGCAAAGCCACCTTCCTGAGACAGTCTAAAGTCTGGATCTGGGGTTCTCTCCAGATTTGGCTGTAGTCTAAATAAAATCAATTGCAGTTGTCTAAATAAAATCAATTTAAAAAAATTGCCCCAAACTGGGAAAGAGACAGTCAAAAAGAGTCTTTCTGCCCTGGCCGGGTTGTTCAGTGTTAGGGTGTTGGCCCTCAGACGGAAGGGTCTCAGGTTCGATTCCAGTCAAGGGCACGTACCTCAGTTACAGGCTCGATCACCGGCTCCGGTCGGGGCACATGCAGGAGGCAACCAGTGGACGTGTCTCTCTCACATCAATGTTTCTATCTCTCCCCCTCCCTTCTACTCTCTAAAAATCAATGGGAAAAATATCTTCGGGGGAGGAGTAACCAAAAAAAACAAACAAAAAAAACAAACAAAAAAATCATAAACACCCCAAAGGAAAGTTGAGAAGGTGTCATTTGCCAGCAAGAGGGAATTTCCTGAGCTTCCGGTGTTTTCGGAGAAAGCAGCCAAGGCCCAGACGTCTTGCGTTAAAGAAAAGTGGGAAACACAGAGACCCTGCCTGAGCCAGAGTGCTCCATGCCCTGCCCGTGGGCAGGTGCTGACCTGTGCTTCTCCTGTGATGATCCATTAAGCTGGAGGCTGGGAGCCTGCGGATCCTGCTGAAGCAGGCTTGCAGCTGGCGGCACGCCACCGGGAGAGCGTTTTAAAGAGCCGCAGTGGTGGCGAAGCAGAAGTCACCGGGCAGAAGAGCATCTGTGTGCCTGTCATTACAGGCAGGCACACACTTAGAAGCCTAATGAAAACCATAGTACGGAAAGGAAAAAAAAAAAAAAGGCTTCGTTCTTTCTGCGGCCCGTCGCTTGGCAGGGTGTCCTGCGTGGAAATGTGAAGTCAGGACAGAACGGAGTGGGAGCGCCTTGCAGATGCTGGCATCCAGGACTTCCAATCCCTCGAGCTGACCTCGGAGGCCAAGCGCTGGAGGCAGCCAACATCATTTGGCTCGAGCAAGAGGCAGAGTTAAGCAGCAGCAAAGGGCCTCTTTTATTGGATTCGCTAGCAATAAACCACATAAATTTGGGAAGCCACAGGAAATAGAAAATAGTAGAGGACTACGGTTCCTAAGAAACCAAGAACCTGTAATAAAATTCAGCAGAATATGGCGAGTGGAAGGGAAACCTCAGGAGTGTGGGCCCAGGGGCACACGGACTGAGAAGCTGGGCCGTAAAATACAAGGCGGCCCCAGGGAGGGGCGGGATTGGAGAAAACTTGGGCAAGGTTGATGGGTTAGAAAAGAGCTCTGCGGGCCTAAAACCAGAGCTGCTCATCGTGGGAAGCCAAGCGCAACTCTCCCAGAGGAAGCGAGCCTTCAGCTGCCCAAGCCTGGGCCAAGCCCCGTAGGGCGTGAGTCAATGCTGTTGATGACGGTAACCAAAGCGGAGTCCACGGGGAGGGACAGGCCGTGTCTCCTGGCCAATTCGAGTGCGCCACGGGGTCTCGGTGTCATGCAAGTGGGATTTTTGTATCTCTGACTCATTTTCTTCCGTGGCTGAATGGTTACAAATCCTGTGGGGAAGGTGTGTTTGTCTCGCACCCAGCTCAGCTCATGCCTTTTCACTCTAAGGGAAGAATTATGCACAACCAGCAGCTGCTGATTCATACATTCTGTGCTCCTCTGAGCGTTCAGGGATGCGAGAGAAAGTCAGATTGACCAAGCACAACTTCATAAGCAAATCAAGCCCCATTGCTTCACTGTAGGGTTTCTTTTTGTTTTGTTTTAATATGCTTTTTTTTTATTGATTTCAGAGAAAGAGAAGAAGGGAGAGGGAGAGAGAGAGATAGAAACATCGATGAGAGGGAAACAGCAACATCGATTGGCTGCCTCCTGCCGGGGACCCAGTCAGCAACTCTGGGCATATGCCCTGCCCAGGAATCAAACCAGCGACCTCCTGGTGCATGGGTCCATGCTCAACCATGGAGCCACACTGGCCAGGCTATAGGGTTGTTTTTTTAATAGGGTCAGTGGAGGCCCCTTAGTCCAAGTGATGAGGCCTATATTTCCCTTTAATTTTATGCAAAATTTGCATTCTGTGCATATGTTTATGTTCCTAGACATAGTTCATTATTTTTGCAAAGTGTTGCCTTGCATTGATTATAGGATACTTTGGTTTCAAGTGATAGAAACCCAACTCAAACTAACACAAGCAGGAAAAGGGAATGTGGAGACTCAAGAAACCAAAACTCAGCAAGGGCAGCTGTTGCCACTCTCCTTCTCCTTAGCCCATCTGCCTGTCTTAATCCCCTCCTGCAGTTTCAAATCCCAACAGCCCTGGGGCCACAGCGACTGAGTCAAAGGGCTTCTCCGATTTCCAAAATGAAAGACCCTTTACAAAGACGTTGATTGGCCAGGACTGGGAACACGTACAGGGCTATGATTGGTCCAGATTTGAAGCGGCTGTCAACCCCTCAACCAATCACTGACACTGGGGAGGCGGGAACATTGGAAACTCACCCTTCGGTTCTCTATTGAGTCCACCTGGCTCAGTGTGGGGAACAGCAGGTCTCCCAAAACCTGGCTGGTTTCCCAGAACTGCTGTGACCAGAGTGATGCTGGAAAGGGTCTCAACTTATGCCTCCCACAGTGTCTGACTCCTATAGCTTCTGTTCTGGAGTTTTAATAAGACTTTTTAAAAAACAACTTCATTTGTAACAAATTCCTAACGTGCAGATTTTTTTACACCAACCATTAAAATCCTCCCAAGAAGATAAGAGTCTTTATTTATTTTGGCTTTCTCTTAAGTCCACCTTACTCTCTTTGTGGGAGCCTAAAGAAGAAAGTGACATAAACCCAGCTCATTCATGGGCTCATGTCTCTTTCTCCTGAAAAGAGACTCCATTGGAGCCAATATACCTTATTTGAATCCTGAGGAAAGGGCTTCCTTGTTTAGGACCGCGTTTCTTCTTTTGAAATTAAGAGGGTGAGTCTGTGGTCCTTGAGGCCTTCCGAAGCTCTGTTTTCCAAGCGTTGCCCATCTTCAATCAGAATTTCTTCTTCGAAGGCTGTCGGGGGGAGACTATGGGACATTTCCCAAGTGTGCTTTGTGGATTTACAGGGTCCTGGGAGGGGCTTCATGGGTTGTGCGAATGGCTATTTTCATCAGGAAAAAGTGTATCTTAAGGTAATTTTGAGGAGGAAGCTCGCACTGGGTTGTGTTATGCACATTGAGCCGTCCATGTGGAACTTACGTGGACAGATGGCTCCCCCAGCCCCCCGCCGCGCGTCTCTGTTTAATTGAGTAGCATCTTGAGATTGCAAGGTGAGCTGTTGAAAACCGTTTCCAGTCCCAGCTACTTATGTGTGCTTATCAGGATCTTTTAGACTCTGCTGCCAAGACAATGTGCAGAAATTAATGGAGTACAGAAATAAGACTATTCCTGTCTTCCCTGCCCCCTGGTTTTGATAATCCTATTATCCCTCTTGTTCTTACCGCTTAGCTTTTAAAAATAATTTTACATATTTAACCACCTAAATGAGATTTATAGCAATAAATTGCAATTTTTACCTGTTTTATACATTGGGGATTCGGTGTAAGATTTTTTTTGTAAAGAAGGTTTCACTTCTAGAAAAAAAAACACCCAAGCATACCGATTTGGAATATGGAAAGAGAGTAAACTTCTTTTCTTCCATTCTTTAAAATTGATCTCAAGCCTCCTTCTCCCATTGCTCCCCCTCCCAGCTGTTATCACCAATGAGAGCATGGTATTTACTCTCTACCACCTGCTCCCCACCCCATGGCTTTATCAATGTTTCTGGCCCCTTGAGCACAAGAGAACATCTTTTAGGCCCAGAGTACTAAAATTTGTTACATTTTCTATTTAACAAATCACTTCAAAGCTTAGTGACTTAAAGCAAGAACCATTTACTTCGCTCCTGATTCTGCAGCTCAGCCATTTGGGCTGGGCTCAGCTGAGTGGTTCTTCTGGTCTTTGATGGACTCAGTCAGGCACCCATGATCAGCTGCTGCCTGAGCTCTGCTGATCTGGGTCCCAGTGTGTGGATTTAAGACCTTGACTGAGATGATGACCTCAGCTCCACATGGCCTCTCATCCCCCAGTTGGCTGATCAGGCGTGCTCACCTGGCCTCAGCAGGTTACCGAGAGAGAGTGGAAGTGTGCATGGCCCCTGGAGGTCCTGGCCAGAACCTGCTAAATGTCACTTCTGCCACATTATTGGCCAAAATCGATCAAAGGCCACCTGGGGAGGTTATCAGGTATCGTGGCCATCGAAGAGGAGGTGGTCTACGCAGCTGCGTACTTTTCTACCAAGCAAAGGCTCAGGGAAGTCCCTTATGCTGGTGAGTTGTTGGGCAACGGGCAGGCAGCTGTTAGTGGTAAGAGCTCTTCTCATGTGTCAGTGAGAAGGAAATCTAGTAGAACCCTAATGAAGCTGGTGTGGACCGAACTGTGTTCTCACAGAATTCATACGTTGACATTCTAACCCACAGGACACCTCGGATGGTGACTGTATTTGGATATAGGGCCTTTAGAGAGGTGATTAAGGTTAAACGAGGTCGTAAGGATGGGCCCTAATCCAACGTGACTGGTGTCTTTATAAGAACAGGGAGAGGCACCAGGGGTGTGTAAGCTTGTGAGGACAGAGTGAGGAGGTGGCCGTCTGCAAGCCAAGGAGAGGGGCTTCCAACCTGCCAACACCTTGATCTTGGACGTTCAGCCTCTAGAGCTGAGAGAAACAAGCTTCTGTTGTTGAAGGCACTCAGTCTGGGGTATTTTGTTAGGCAGACTGAGCTGACGGCTGCAGAGGCAAAACCCTTCCTGAAACTGTCTCTTCTCTCCCAGTGTGGTCCTTCCAGCTTCAAGAAGCACCCCACCCGCCTCGTCAAGCCTCCTTAGCCTCCCTAAATCCCAAACAAGACGGCCTCAACCCCCTCGTAGGACCAAGTGATTAGCTCTTCATTTATTCTCTTTTTAATCTGTTTATGAGTAGATATCAAGCTCCCCTTCTTCTGAAGACAAGTTTTGAGGTCAAAAGGTGAAAATTGGCTGTTTGTCTCTCTTTGCATTCCTCCTGTAATAGCCCGAATCCGGATCCATGTGTCACCCTCTGGACAGGCCTTACTCAACCGCTGAGCCAGAGCAGTGACTGAGGTCGGGATGGGGTTGGGACTCAGTTAGCCCAGAGTGAGCACACGTGGTCTGTGGCAACACAGCATGAAAGCAGTTCTGAGAGGAGGACGTGATTGTATTTCAACCAGAAGGGAAATGAGTTTGTGTCGGGAAATCAGCCCATTTGGCACAACCTCACTAACATCTTGGTACAGTCATTGCTTTCTCAAGAGCAGCCGGATCCGCGGGTTTCATGCTCCCACCACACCACCACCCTGGTCTTCAGGGAGGTTCCATCAACCGTCTAAGTAAATCCCGACAAAGCATCGCTTTCTCGGCAGCCTCTGGGGAAAAGCAGAGAAGATCCAGGTCAGAAACTCTGGCTGTGAGTGCCTCCTCCTCACTGACTGTGTCGTCACCTCCACCCTGTGCACCCTACTCTCCGCCCTTGTGGGTCCGAGGCTTGATCTAGTCACAGGCCCTAAGGGGACCCCAGTAAGATAATACGTGGAAAGAATCCCCAACATACATTTGTGACGAGCTCTACACAAATGCAAGTTATTGAAAGCGTTAAATAAAAAGACATCCGAGCCCGGCTGGTGTGACTCAGTGGTTGAGCATCGACCCAGGAACCAAGAGGTCACCAGGTTGATTCCCAGTCAGGGCACATGCCCAGGTTGTGGGCTCGATTCCCAGTAGGAGGTGTGCTGGAGGCAGCCAATCAATGATTCTCTCTTATTGATGTTTCTATCTCTCTCTCCCTGCCTCTCTGAAATCAATCAATCAATAAAAAAAGACGCGTCCTATATTAAGCCGGTAGTTAACCCGTATCTCCCTTTTCTTGCCCTGATGACTATGAAGGCCACGCGGTGGGATCTTGGTGTGTCCATCAAGCTGGGTCCCTGAGTCACTCAGTGGAATCCCTGCCGATCTTCACTAGGCAGGTGGCATGAACGAGAGAGGAAAGGCTTGGCTGTGTTAAGCCACTGAGATTTCAGGATTCATTGGTGACTGTAGCAGGACCTTACTTCATTCCACAAGCGTGAAAGAAATATAACATTGATTTTATTCCCCTAAAATTAAACCAAAAGGAACTGAGGCCCCTTTTCTGTGAGGTGGGTTGGCAACTCAATCTCAGTCATTGCTGGGACTTCTCTCTCCCTACCCACTAGTGTTGGGGGGTGGGGGTGGGGACGGGCCGTCCTTAGGGTCTTGGGTAGCAGGACCTTTGAGGAGGGCCCTCTCGCCACGTTCCAGCACCTGGTCTCATGCAGGTGGGTGGCACTGATGTTTCTATGCCAACCTCAGGCTCAGGATTGGGATTAGTTGCTGAAGGGCACCTTCCCAGGCACAGCACACAGCCATTTCCTGCCACCCTGGCTCACCTCCAGGCCAGCACACGACCCCAAACCAACTCTCCTCTCCTAGTCTTGGGGTATCTACCTGCTTCCCCCAAAGTTTGTGCTTCTGTGGGCACTTCCTACTGTCTGTCAACCCCCTTGTCTAGCATATTCCTTGACTTTCTAGAAACAAAAAATAAACCAAAGCCAGAGAAGGAGCAGGGTGACCTGTGTAACGAATCGTTTGCTGGGTCTGGGACTATAAACGCCCTCAGACAGGGAGACACCTGCTACCTTCTTAGAACAGGGGTTCGTGGAGCTCTGTAAGCACAGAAGACACATCCATATCCCAACACATTATCCTCCCCCATGGGGACTGCTCACGCTGAGGAGGCAAGCGGGCCAAGATGTGCAGTCACTCCGTTCGTAAATCAGAGGGAAAAATCATACCATGCAAATGAGCGCTCACTCACAGGCCAAGGCCTTGAAAGAATTTCATCCGTGGGTGGGCCGCCGGGAAGTGGGCCTACGAACCATGAAAATATGTGGCCCAGCCTAACCCCCTGGTGCAACCCCCGACCCTCAGATCTCCTTCAGATGCCCATGCCTGCGTGACAGGCAGTGAGGCAAAGTTGAAACACTTTTTAAAAAGAAATATATTCTGGTAAACCCTCGACTGTTAGCGGCGCCAGGGTGTGGGTTTTTTAAGCTCCTCCTCTTTCTTGGTCCATGCTGAGTACTGCTGTTCTCTGCACTCAGGAAAACGGTGCAAGAGAAAGAGGACCCACACTCAGCAGTGTCACTTGCTAACTGTGTGTGTGTGTGTGTGTGTGTGTGTGTGTGTGTGTGTAACATATTTGTTTATTTCAGGGCTGCACAGTTTGAGGATGAAACAAACCAAAATGATGACATTTAAATGCATCAGTATCGCATCGTTTGCAAGTAACACGTGTGTTTGTATTTTATCGATATGCTTGTTAGGTTGGTCTGACCACTAAATGAGTGTGACTGACATTTGTTTTTTAAACAGCGAAACAGCATTTACCGTTCTTGCTGCACAGAAGGTGTAGCAGGAGCGCAGGAGGCCCCAAGGCAGGCTTTTACGCTATCTATGGAAAATATTAAATTGCACAGCGTCCAGAATCCATCAGAGCCACTTTCGGGTCAATCATCAGGGGATTAAGTGCTTTATTTGCTCCTGACTCTGTGGCTCCAGCCCAAGGTTCCTCACCCTCAGCTCTACTGACATTCGGGGCCAGATAATGTTCTGATGTGCTGGGCTCTCCGGTGCATTGAGGGTGCTTAGCAGCACCTCTTAACACTGACTATGACGCAAAAACGTCTCTAAATATGGTGACCCTTCAGGCGGGAAGTTGCTCTGAGTTGAGGACCTCTGGCCTACACCAGGGAGGCGGCTGCCCTGTGGGGAAAAATAGCCTGCAGCTGTGGGACCCGTGCTCCGTGAATCATCACATCACAATTAGGTTGAGGGGCTTCTCGGTCCAGTGTTAATATTTACTGTTTCCAAAAATGTATTGTGTGCGACACAGGATCCAGGGCATGTCGACTGGGGCTATGTCAAGGAAGGGTTTACAAATGCTCTCTGAGCAGAAGGCCTGACTGCAGGACTTCTCAGAGCCTTTACTGCCATTATGGTGACTCTCCAAGAGGGTCTACAGCTCACAGCTCTTTCCAGTTTGTTTGTTTTTTGGGTTTGTTTGTTTTTTCGTGCAGCCAGTGATGTTTGTTAGTCCTTTTTGGTGCTTAGTTCTATAGAATAGAATCTTGGAAACTTGGCCCAGCTCGAAGCTTTCTGCTAGTTCCCTGCCTTGACTCTGGGGACCCCTTAGAGCAGGGATCATTTTTACCTTTTTCTCCAGGGTGTCCACTCTATCATCTCTTCAGAGATTGATCTGGAAGTGGTTTGGCTTTTTTTTTTTTTTAATCCTCACTCAAAGATATTTTTCCATTGATTTTTAGAGAGAGTGGAAAAGAAAGGGAAATATATAGAGATATCAATGTGAGAGAAACACATCAATTCAGGGCATGAGGCTGGGAAGGAGCCTACAATCAAGGTACGTGCCCTTGACTGGAATCGAACCCGGAACCCTTTGGTCCACAGGCCGACGCTCTGTCCACTGAGCCAAACCGGCTAGGGCCGAAAGTTGTTTTGAAGATAGAGAAGCAGGTGTCGCACTGAGGTCAGAGTCCCGGCTCTTGGGCTGTCCCTCCCAGCTCGCAGTAGGCATGTGGCTCATTCTGTTAGGTCATTGGTCGGCAAACCGCGGCTCGAGAGCCACATGCGGCTCTTTGGCCCTGTGGCATGGGCCATGAAGTTTCAATCACACTGTACGTGCGTGCCCGCACGTGGTATTTTGTGGAAGAGCCACACTCAAGGGGCCAGTTTGCCGACCACTGTGTTAGGTCATCCAAACTCAGATGTCTACGGAGATGTCTCCCTACCTGGATCGAGCCTCCTGGTTGCATTTATGGGCTTACAGGTCCCTCCCTGGGGTGGGGGTGGGGGTGGGGGGTGGAGCCTCAGCTCGGAGCTGCAGGGTGAGGAGCCAGGGTGTGGCACATGGACCAGGTGATGAAGAGCTTGGCCTCAGAAGCCAATTGGCCAGATTCAAATCACTGCTCTGTGGCTGCCACTCGCCAGCAGGGGACCTGGAGCCAGCGCAGGACAGTTTCCCAACGCTGTCAGTCTGCCCGTCTGTGAAATGGGGCTGACAGGTGTGACTACATTCAGGGCCCACCCGGATCACCCAGGACCGTGGTGCCAGCTCTGATCCCTAACTTAATCGCTTCTGCAATCCCTTTGCTCATGTAAGGCAACAGTCACGGGTTCCAGGATTAGGATGTGGCTCTCTGAGGCCATTACTCAGCCTCCCACGGCTGTCCCAAGGAATACAGGAGAGCGCGCTTGCTTTCACCCTCCTAAGCAGACTCAGGTAACTAGGAAATTAAACAGTAGTTGCAAATAATTCTTCACAGTCCTCCTTCCCCACCCACAGGAGGCATAGCTTTATCAGTTTCATGGTTAATATGCCTGTGCCCAACCGGTCTGGCTAAGAAGGGCCATATATAAATGGAATCCCAGAAATCATAGTGACAACAACTCAGATAAACAACTATGAAATGCGCTTGATCCTCACCCAAAGCCCACAAGGCAGACACATTTATTATACCTACCTTTTCGATGAGTGGAGCAGAGTGGTTAGGTAGCTTGCCCTGGGTCACACAGCTGTGAGTGGCAGAGCCAGCACTCAGGACAAGGGACCCGTCCCTCCCACCCTCCTCTCTCTCTGGATTTGCAGACTCATCACCAGGAGTGACTCCCATTTACTGATACAGCAGCCTTGCCACCCACCACCTACCCCTAAAAATCGAGCTTTGGTCCGTGAGCTGACGAAGCAGATACTCCTTTAGGGCTGAAAGACAGACTCCAGAGGGTGCATTTGCTTCTGTCTCGGGAAGGGAAACAAGGAAACGAGGAGCAATTAGGGAACGCGCTTCGGGTGGCTGCAGCTCAGGCTCGCTCACACTGCCTCACAGCTGCCCTTGGACTTCCCTCGGCCTCCAGGGCTCAGAGGTCGAGGTGGATGAGGAAGCAGATGGGCAGAAAGGGATGACATGGGCGACATGCCCTTGGGGCCCTGGGACGGATGGGGGTGGGGGGGGCATCGTCAGCACCTTGTGGCCTGTTGGATGAGCCGCAGGGTTTTGGTGGTGAGCCAGCCCGTCTGCTGAAGGGGAGAGTTGGTCGCCCCACATATTTCTGTAGCGAGCTCATGCTGTTGTTCTGATGCTCTCATACGTAGGTGTAGGCGCTGGCTAAGGCGGTCCATCAGAGAAAGCTAAACTAATGGGCCTACAGGGACAGACTGGGCGTCCAGTAGACATTTCTGGGTTGTGAAGTGCACGAATCACAGGCATATTGACCACAAAACAGACAAAGCTTCAGCCCAGGGTCTGTCCCTTCCCTGCGGGGCAGAGAGCTGTAGGGAGGGAGGGGCGCTAGCTGGGGAGGAGAGGGAGCGGGGGAGAGGGGTGGGCAGTCCCAATCAGGACACAGTGCGTGTAAGTGTGAAATCGCAGAAGTAAGGGCCCTGAGTCTTCAGGGCACCAGTGATTTGCTGACATCTTTTCTCATTCTGCATAAATAGCCACGCTCCTGCCTAATTTTGTCTTCATAGTTTTGTTCTCTTTTTTCTTAAAAATGGTCCCCCAAATTGTCTAAGCGCCAGGCCCCACTGAACCTGGGTCCTTCTTGGTCACAGGAGAAGTAAAACATTACGAAGGAGGATTTTTCCAAACTCATCACCATCATGCCAAGAACAACTCTGGGGAATGTTCTTTCTGAGACGAACGTCAAGGGAAAGAATATTGAAACGGACAGATGCACAGATTTCATCCGAAAGCCCAGCCCCAGGGAAATTCCATGATGCTTTTTACATTTTCTTTATGAGAATGCTTTCGGACCCACCTTATGAGTTCCCGTGACCTGGAGCCTCCCTGAGCCCCCTGAGTCGCAGCTGCCCCCCCCTTCCAGGCTTACTTGTAGACCCCAGAAGGACTGGGGCACGGGTTGTCCCCCTCCACGTGCTCTCAGCTCCCCATGTCCCAGGAATAGGATCCAGGCCCCCACTTAGCAGGAGCAGCTGAGGTGCCCAGCTCCAGGCTCCCCTCTGCCCGCCCCCCCCCCGCGCCCCCCCCCGCCCGCGTGCCGGGAGACGCCCCCTCCTGTGTCCCAAAGCCAGACCTGCCTGAACATTCAAAGGATGGAAAACAGTGCTTCTCTCTAAAGCAGCGGTTCTCAACCTTCTTAATGCCGCGACCCTTTAATACAGTTCCTCATGTTGTGGTGACCCCCAAATTTCATTGTGCAAGTTGAACATAATTAAAGCATAGTGATTAATCACAAAAACAATATGTAATTATACATGTGTTTTCAGATGGTCTTAGGCAACCCTTGTGAAAGGGTCGCTCGACCCCCAAAGGGGTCATGACCCACAGGGTGAGAACCGCTGCTCTAAAGCCTCGATCACTTGGTTCCTGCTTAGTTTGCACATGGAGACACCGCAGACAAGCTACAGCAGCAACCAGGTTGCCTGGGTGATCCTGCACTTCACAGACGTGCCAAGGCATGACAGTGGCGGTGTCTAATGCAGCCGCATGACACACACGTCGTGCCCTTGCTTAGGGGATGCTCCGGGGGTTTGCTCCGGCTTGCAAAGCCGGCTGCTTCTGGTTACCCACTACAACTGGGTAAAACCTGTCCTCCACCTGGTCTCCGGTCTTCATAAACACTCCCAATAATAATTAAAGAGAGCATCCGTGCTTGGGGGCCTACTCTGTGGTTGGATGTTACCACACTTAATTCCTACGATGCAGCGACAGCTGTCAGCATCCCCATTTCCCACAACAGGTAAACCGAGGCCACCTTTTTGAAGGCCATGCCCTGTCCTCAGTCTTCTCGCCTGCAAATTGGGAATAAGAATAGGTCTCTCGGAGGGTGGTGTGGGCTCGCATGAGATGCTGTGTGTATGGCAATGGCACCGGCCCGATCCTCAAGGTCATGTTGCTGGTGAGAGGCAGGACCAGGCCTTTGTGACACTGCGTGTGTCCTTTTCTACCATCCCCCTCCTGGTGAGCTCTTGCTGAACTTCACGGTGCTTAGTCATGTCTGCGTTCTGCTCGCCTCATGTCAGCAGGGGCGGGACTTTGCCACTGTTGTTGCTGTCACCCGAAATAGGCCTGGTGCTTTGCTTTTGTGCTGTTTATTCTTTATTTGGGAGAGTCAATAAGATGTTCACGCTGCAGGTGGCGCATTTGAGATGGCCCTTGTAGGAGTTCTGTAGGTGGAGACGGCTGTCATGTCACATGGACTGAAGGCTTAGAAACATCCTAGGAAAAATAGTAGGGTTACCCCGAAAATGAACATACTAACTAGGAAGTCTCATCTAGTCTGGAACTGAAGCAAGGGTTTAAGCAGGCACCGAGTGACAATGGCGGTTATTGAGAAAGGCATCTATCACGTCAACTTATGTGGGTCTATCTAGAAAGTGGTTTTGTTTATGAAAAAATTCCCTAATAATTGTGGACACGGGGAACGAATTCCAGGGTCTTGATTGGAACCCAGGGGACAGATGAGATGGCCGGGCTCCGTCCTCCCACAACCCCCCCATGTGTGGGCCGTGTAGAGCGGGAGGGGACACCGTCTCCCCAAACCAGTGCAGGTGGGAGACACAGCAGCAGTGGGAAGGATGCTATGATGCCCCCTTTTCCCTCCCCCCTCTCCCGGGTTGCTCTGGGAAGGGCAGGGGAACACACCAGGGAGCCATGGGTGCTCAGCTACCAGTAAACGTGAATGCTTGCAGAGCAACGTGTCCCCATCTGGAAGTGGCCCCCAATTCGCCGCATTTGGTTTTGGATGTTGTAGCTGGAACCCCGAGGCTGTCAGCTCCACTTGAGGAAGCTCCTGCCCTCCCGCCCCGCCTCCCCATTATGACTGCTGCCCTTTCTCCTGACTTTCTCTGCGGCTCTCTGCGGCTCCGGTCCAGGGTGACTGACGTAGCTCAGGACTCACAGTCTTCCCATCAGACTCCCCAGAGAGTGCAGCAGTCCCAGAGTCGTGGCCTCCCAGTAGCCTTGGGAACTAGAGCCTGGCCCGACTATTTTTTCAAATAAAAATAAATGTTAATATAGTGTTGTTGTTTTTTAAATCTGGCAGGAGGCCTACTGACCTAGTCAGCCACTTGCCCTTGCCCTGGACTTTCATAAAGCCCTGGTCTGAAGCAGTTTAAGTGTCACTTTAAACAAGTATATCACTTACCCCAACCTCCCCCACCCCGAGCTGGAAGGCTGCAGAGGCCTCGCTCTGTTGGGAGAGAAATCTCAGCTTTTAAAAAGCTCCGAGGCCTGAGCAAAGAAGAGGTGTTGGCTCAAAAATGAAAACTCCGAAAGCAAAATGAATGAATATAGAACCAAATGTTGACAAAACCACGACTCAATGTTGACTCACCTTTATGTTACTAGATACTTTATTCGGTACAGAATTCACAATAATAAAAGGAAACATGCAAAAATGTTAGCAAAAAAAATTGATTGTGGGGTGGATTTTAATATGTTTGATATGAGGTGACAGTCCCCAAAAGTAGAAATGCCGAGAGGCTGCCAGGGGACCTGGAGCAGGTACTGAGAGAAAGCCGGGACCAAAAGCTACCAGGTGTCATTCACCACGGATGTGAATACCTTATAAACGTGTGCATCTTCCTCAAGACAGCTGACTTCCACCCCGGACAGGAAACCCCACAAAGGACAGTCATGCGGTTACTTTATTCACATGGGGGTGGGTGGGGGGGTGGGAGGTGAGGTGATTGTCAGCTCAGTTGTATGTTGGACCTGAACTCAGTGACCCAAGTTGGTACTCAGCACTCCCCCAACACGTCCACTAGGGGGCAGTGCAGAATCAAAACGCCCTCTGCTCCTGAGGGTCTGAATTCTCTGAGATACAGTCTGGGGTGACCAAGTGAAATTTTCTTTGAGAATTGGGGTTTTATCTTAAAAATGATTGTGGGTATTGCTTTTTCCTGCATAACACGTCTACATTTAATATAGAGGTAATTTGAAAAACTTTTCACCAATAAGAAAATTGAACACTCTAAGAATATCAGCCCTGTTTGACTTGCCAGTCGCTCCATCACAGACCTGGGGGTGTGGCATCAGAGTTGGAGAAAACGCATGTGTAGGAACACCCCAACCCTGACCCGTAAGCAGCTTGACCCAGCCAGGTGACATCGTGCTAATGTGCCTTCTTCCCAACCAGAAGGCTTCCATCTTTTACTCAACCATTGATTGACTCAGCTTCCTCTCTAACCCCCAGATACGCCTGTCCTTGCCTGCCCCCCTAGTGCTCAGATGGTCCCTAATCCAAGAGCACCTCCACAGCTCCTCTTCCATCCTAACCCCACCACCCACTGAATCCCGCCGAATCCCACCGTAATCTTAATCTTCTTCTGACTGCTTTCCACACAATCCTCTTTCCTTCCTCAAAACTGTGAAGGCGTGTTCGTCCAAACCACTGCCTTATATGTTGCTCTGATCATGTCTTAGACATACAACTTGTCCCCCAGACTAGACTCCACGCCTCTCAGTGGCAGTGGCCTTGCTTTTCACTTTGTTCTTTTTATCCTGGCAGGACAAACAGTAGATGGACCATTAGTTCTTCTTTTCCTGTGCGACGTAGTAATTAATCTAACTCAGCTTCCGGCTCTACGTGAGGGCCCTCACCCTCTAGTCTTTTCATTCCCACCAGTTACCTTCTCTCCGTCTCCTGACTCCTTAGGTCAGAAAATATTGGGAAATATTTTACAGACTTGTTAATGGGAACGTGCACGGAGAGGCTCAGGACCGCTTCCTGAGATCCCAGGTTCTCCGAGGTCCCTAATTTCACTTTTAACCATCTGCCCGTTTCCTTCACAAGCTTTGTCACAGTTTGTGAAGTGTTTGTGTGTTATGCATGGTATTGTGTGACTTGCTTGCCTGCTTTGCTCACTAGACTGTAAGCTGAGGGCAAGGAAGGACCGTGTGGCTGACCCCTCCCCCCCACCCCCCATGGTAGGTGCTTAATGCTCCTGTTGAATGAGTATTTCAGCGGGTCTTTGCATTCTTGCGTCTCCTATTTAAAGAAAACCAACTCTCCTGCTCTTTCAGACGACACAAGATATACAGAGAGCAGCTGAACCTCACTTCCCTGGACCCCCCAGTGCAGCTCCGGCTCGAGGCCAGCTGGCTCCAGTTCCACCTGGGAATCAACCGCCACGGGCTGTACTCCCGGTCCAGTCCTGTCGTCAGCAAACTGCTCCGCGACATGAGGCACTTTCCCACCATCAGTGCTGGTGAGGCCCAGGATCAGGCAGGGACTGAGTGTCCCCAGAGGCTGGTAAACCAGCCAGGCTCTGGGGTGGAAAGCAAAGGGTTGTCTGACTCCTGATGGGCAGAAAACAACACACACACACACACCCTCCTCACAACCCCACAGGGGAGGCATGAGGAGGTGTTCCATCCACTTTAAGAAACGTGATGGCTCCCCTTTAGTGGGTGCTCCCTTTCCGCCCGGCAACCCTCTCTTATCAGTGACCTTATGGCGTGGACCCCTCACTGCCATTTTGCTGATGGGAGAACTGAGACTCAGAGAGGATGCACAACTCGGCCAGGGACCAGGGCTGGAGCGGGGGTTCCGACAGGCCTGCTGTCTCAGGTCTGTGCGGCCTGGCACGACGTGTCTACGTGACAGAGCGGGTGGTTAGCAGAGACAAAACCAGCCCCGGTTTCCCAGACAGGCGCTAGGCCTGCCGATGGAAGGGCCAGCGAGCACGGGGCTGGGTGGAGCAGGGCGCGGCTATAGCCAACTGGGGCTCCGGGCGATGCCCCTGGCTGCCTCAGTGTCCCCTTTAGTGAGTCCAGGGCCGTGTTGTTGGCGCCCCTACACATGGCTGAACGTTCTTCCTGTCCTTCTCCTCCACAGATTACAGTCAGGACGAGAAAGCCTTGCTTGGGGCGTGTGACTGCACCCAGAGTAAGTGAGCTGGCCCTGCTGCCCTCCGCCCTCCACGTCACAGCCGTGTGAACCTGGGACCCCTCTGTGGGGTCCTGGTTGGGACTCGAAGGGGCGGGACTCTGCCTAGGCCTTGAGAAGCCAGCATTTCTCCCCGCCTACCCACATGACGGAAAAGCCCTTTAAGAGGGGCTGGTGTGTAGGTCCCTGCTGGTCAGTGCGTGATCCGGGGACCAGCTTCATTGGGATTGGAGTGCCTTTCAGATTTAAGAGGCAATTGTGCAGGACAGTGGTCCTCAACCCCAGGAACTTATTAGAGTTCCCTGGGAGCTCCACATAGGCAGAGGCCCGGGCATCAGCATTTTAAAACCGTTCCTAGTGATTCTAATGCAGCTGAGGCTGAGACCCCCTCACCGATGAATAGGATCAGAGAGAGAGGCGTGAGATGCAGCACAGGCTCCTCCCAGGGGGTCATGAATTGGGTATAGATGTACCTGGACCCTGCACAGCCCTCAGAGTGGCCAGGCCAGGCCTGGACACCGAAGCCCCAGAGCAGTCACCGGCCAGGAGCAGCCTCATCCATTTACCTCAATATACCGAACACACATCAGACATTTCCATGTGTGTTGTGACATGTTAAAGGTTTGAAAGACAGGTTTGTGGGGCCCAGGACTTCCCTTTAACACCTGCCATTTGCCATATTATAGAGCATAGACAGCGTCCAGACCCTACCAGGGCTCACGCAGGGTGGGGACAGGGTGGGGTGAGGGCCCTGCCCAGGACTGGACACATGAGGAGGGAGCTCTCACTGGCAGGGTCGTGTGAGCACATCTTAGGTGCCTTGCTCACCCAGCCCTGTCTCAGCCCTGTTTGGTCTTGACATGGAAGATACGTAAACCAGTCCACTAATGCAGGTTAGCAGATGGCATCATCAGAATCTACAAGGTGCCAATGGAGCAGAGTCAGTGGCAGTTCTTAGGGAAACGTTCTTTGGGGTCTGCTGTGTCTGTTGGGGAAACCTATATTGTTTGCCCTTTTCCCATAACAGCAGAGAAGGTATTGTCTTGAGCTGCTGGCACCCTCTCCATGGCCTGATGCGATGGAATGTACCCTGCAGGCTTTACAAAGCAAATTCTGGTCCTTAGAGAAGAAATCAGTTGGGTTTATTGAATGAACAAAGGTCCCACCCCGAGCTTCGTCCCAGAAGCATGGTTAACTCACCCTTGTCCCCTCACAGTTGTGAAGCCCAGTGGGGTCCACCTCAAGCTGGTTCTGAGGTTCTCGGACTTCGGGAAGGCCATGTTCAAACCCATGAGGTAAGTGATGCCTTCCTCACCTCCATACCCAGCCTTGGCAGCTCTGCGGGGTGTTGACCCAAATTAGTAAAAGTGGCCTAAGGTCTTCAAGCCAGTCATCTGTAGACTGCCCTTTGGGCAATCTGCCTACGCACTGAACTGTTTTTGGTGATACTTTAAAAAAGAGCTAGACCTTATCAGGTCATTGCTAGCATCTGTGCTACACACATTTCATGATTGTCTTTGGGTCATCAATAACCTTATGAGCCAGGAACTGTTCAAGTGCCCACTTTACAGATGACAACACTGAGGCTTGGAGAAGCCAGCTTGCCCCAACCTCCCAGCTGCAGAAAGTGGAGCTAGGATTCAAACCCGGGCAGCTGGATTGTTAACACTCTACCACTGTCATTCATACCCACTTGTTTCCAGGGCTAGGACTCTCAAAACGGTTATAGTTGACTGAAAAACTAGGCCATGAAAAATGCTACTGTGAAGTCAGTATATTCTTAAATCAATTTCACTTCATTTACAAGGCAAATACCTGCCTTTAAGATTTTGCAGAACGTGGGTGAGGTACGTATCCAGTCTACAGAGCTTGGTGTACCTATAGATCCTGGCCCCCGGGGTCTGCAGCCCACAGGCTGGGACTCCTGAAGTTTATGTCCCCCCGGAGGTGACATGCACAGGAGACAGTGGCCCCAGGAGGGAACCCCAGTAGAGGGATTTAGGTTCCAAATGTCCAGTCAATTGAGAGGCCCATGGAGTGAATGGCTCAGTAGATGAGCCTGGGGCAGGGCCTCGTGGAAACAGCATTGACTACAGAATCTTAGTTCTAGTCCCTGCACTGCTTTGACAAAAGCACCCTTAAAGGAGGGGTTTGCAATAGACCGGCTCCTGGGAATCTCTTGGGGAGCCTTGAAACATCCTGGTGCCCGAGTCCCACCCTCTGAGTCCAATGGGATGGTTCCGGGGCTCCCCGGGGACCCCAAGGCCCAGAGAACCTGAGGACCGCGCTAAAGCAATCCCTATGCCTATGCGTACACGAAAAGCAAAAGGCCTTTTTCTGTTCCCTGTGGTCATGCTGATCAGCTGTCTCCTCCGGCTCCCGCTGGCTCCCGCTGCAGTCTGCGTCCAGGGCATGATTCCTCCCTTCTTTTCAGACAGCAGCGAGAGGAAGAGACGCCCGCCGACTTCTTCTACTTCATTGACTTCCAGAGACACAATGCCGAGATTGCAGCTTTCCACCTGGACAGGTAGGGTCTGGCCCTGTGAGCTGGCATTGATGGCAGCGGCCAAGCTCAAGAGGGGGCGCTGGGCAGAGGAGCAGGGGGGACCTCCCTGGAATGTCTTCCTTCCATGATGCCTTTGGACCTAGCACGTCCCACCCAGCCCCCTGGGTTGAAAAACACAAAGATGGTGCAGATAACAGAAACAACTACTTAGAAAACTAACCCTGCCAGGCGGTCACGCTGCCATCTGGGGCATGACGTTGCCCTTTGCTCTAGTTTCCAGATCTGAAAATGAAAACACACCACCCCCATTTATCCAGGCAGCCTGAGGTAGTGATTTTAAGAGGTGAAAACAAGTTCCTGAACTCCCGGCTCCTATTTGCCCAGTCCCTGTGACTCACACACAGTGTGGTCTGTGCACTGGCAAGCCAGTCACTGCCCGGGAGCTTTTCAAAAATTCAGAATCTCAGCCTGGACCACTGAATCAGAGCCTGCACAGAGACAAGATCCCAGGCGACTCATACACACGTGGACATAGGAGCTCTAACCTAGAACACAGCTTGGACCGGGGAGGGTTAGCCCAGGAGACTTGATGGAATGAGGGTCCCTCTTCTGCCCCTTCTCCCACACCTGAAGTAGGGTTGCCCTAGGCACCGTCAGCTCAGCACTGCAGAGACCCCCGCGGCTGGGTGTGGTCGGGAATGCCAGTCCACTTCTAACGGGCGACCATCTGACTCCCCCTCTTTCAGGATCCTGGACTTCCGACGGGTGCCACCAACAGTGGGGAGGCTAGTCAATGTCACCAAGGAAATCCTAGAGGTCACCAAGAATGAAATCCTGCAGAGCGTTTTCTTTGTCTCTCCAGGTAGAGTCCTGGCCAAAGCCATCTTCTAAGGACACGGTAGGCCAGCGTGGCCACCAGTACGTTCAGCAGTGGCCTGTCCAGCCAGTAGCCATGGCCATTACTGGGATGGGTGTATGCCGCCATCCCACACTCCCACCTTGGTCTGCCCGAGCTTCACAAGAGGAACTGGGGGTGGGAAATTCATACCTGAGATGCTAAGTAGCCTGGGCGGGCACCCACCTACAGTGCGGCCTCCCTGGAATCAGGAGTTATCCAGACAAAGAACACTACTCCTGTGGACAGGATGCACGGTTTACTAGCATCCACCATCTGGAAAAGGCAGTATTTCCTCCTGCCCCCTTTCCCCCAGCTATGAGTTCAGGGGTTCCCTTTCCTCCCATGGATCTCTGGGGACAGGAAGATGGTCTGCCTCCCTAACACTTCTCTTACTCCTCCTCTCCCCATCCTCCAGCCAGTAACATGTGCTTCTTCGCCAAGTGTCCATACATGTGCAAGACCGAGTACGCTGTCTGTGGCAACCCCCACCTGCTAGAGGGCTCTCTCTCCGCGTTCCTGCCGTCCCTCAACCTGGCCCCCAGGCTGTCTGTGCCCAACCCCTGGATCCGCTCCTACTCGCTGGCCGGAAAAGAGGAGTGAGTTGGGCCCCTGGCCATGCACATTAGCCCGAGAGTGACCACAGTCCTACAGGAAGGACTTACGGCTAGCCTGGCTTTTGGACCCCTAAAGGCTACCTCAGCCTTCCTTTGTCTCACCTCATATAGATCCTGGGACCAGCTGGCCCGAGTCCATTCTCTCCCCTTAGTTCATTTATTCAGTTATAAAGAGACTAGTGTCTACCCAACTTTAGGCGCTAGGGGATACGGGAATGAAAGACACAGGCTCCCCCTCAAGAAGCTCCGCTGTCGAGCTGGGAGGTTATAGAAATAGCCAGATTCTGAAAACACAGTGCAACACCCGCTGTACACAGAGAAGCACACGAGGAGCCCGCATGAGATACCTGGTCTACCTGCGTAAGCCCGTGAAGCCAAGGACCCATCGTGTATCCCTGGGGCTCAGCACATGCCCTAGCACATAGTAGGCACTCAGTTCATATTAGCGGACTGAATGAACAGGGGCTGAGGAATGTCTGAGAGGAGCCTGCAGAAGCAGCAGGGAGGGGACGCGGAAGCCAGGGGGTCCCCTTGGTGCCCCGCCATCTCCCCCGGGAAACGGGGCCCTA